TTTCATTCAAATCAATCTTTCTGGGGATCCAAAGCCCCGGTAGTGTTGTCCAGCCTCAAGGTTCACTGGTCTTCATCATTTTGCCTGTTAAATATATACACCTATTTTGACTGCAGTGATTGGAACACTGTGTACACTGTGAATTCTGAGGGTGGCAGTTTGACTCAGTTACCTCATGGTTGGGGTTCAGGAGGACTACCCTTACATCAGAAGTGGGGCCCCAGCTCCTGTGGCCCTGCAGAACCAGGTCCCCAGAGTCAGCTTCCATTTCTGCTCCAGCTGCCCAGATCTGACACACACAACCACGCACACACACAAGTTTTATCTCCATTGTGGGTCAGTGTTGGTTTCAGTTATGGTATTCTCGGAACAGTTCAACAATTACAAACTACCCACTGTGAGTATCTGCCAACCAGCCAGGACACAGGAGGAGGGGATGTGGAAGGAAATGTCTTCACAGTGCGGATAAATCCTCCGAACTACCCAACCCCCCAGTGGCTGCCCCTTTTAAGCACAAATGAGAAAAATAAACCTCAAAATATTGTATGCAACATAGTACAGTCGAGTGGAAAATATTTTGTTCATACTTAACCCAGTAGGTGGCACTTTGGCCTTTTGAGTATCAGTTAGACTAGCACTGGGAAAAATGTCAAGAGACAAAGCCAGACATTGAAAAACAAACCAGGATGCCTGAAATGTTAGTCTGTATAAATGAATCAAAAGATGAACACTAAGGTGACTATGGAAGAGTAAATGTAATGTTTGCAGAGAGGAGAGAAAGACCAGGAACCGTTGTGCAGAATCAGGTTTCAGCTCTGACAGACTAGTTGGTATAATGACAACAATTTCCTCTCCACAGTCTCCAAAGTGCTGCTCATTGTAGGAACTGTTGGGTTTCTCTATATTAATACTATTTTAAGGTCTTGACCTTCTATGTAAAGTGCCTTGAGATAACGTATATTATGATTTGGCTCTATACAAATAAAATTTAATTGAACAATAAGAGTGATAATTATGGATGTAAAGATGTACAGGCTGAGTAGTACTGACACACATGGCATGATGAAGTGACAAAAACAAAACACATGCCAATTCTTGATTGTAATAAGTACACATATAGAAAAGGCCACTATGCGCCACATTACAGCCTTACTGTGTCACTGTTGTTCTTCAGTCTGACATATTTCCCATCCATGTCGACTTCTACCACGCTTACAGGACCATGGTTTGTTGATCGACCTGACATTTTGTAGGCAGGCGAGTTGCCAGAGGCTCCCTCGTGTTTTCGTTTTTTCCCTCTTAGTTTGCGGCTGCTGTGCTCATGGGTGCGGGGTATGGCAGAGTGCTGGGAGGGACTGGGTGACAGCTGCAATCTGATAGAAACATGGAGAACATTTATTTGGTTTGCAGCAACTGGGAGCTAAAATGGCAGCCACACAACATAAGCCAAGCGACTATGGTACATTTTCAATTTCAAGAGCAGACAGTAAAATGTTTATGTAAATGTGTGATGTACACAGCTGTACCTCTGCTCCTCCACCTCCAGCATCTTCCTATAAGCATTGATCTCCATGTCCAGAGCGAGCTTGACATCCAGCAGGTTCTCGTAGTCTTCCAGCTTGCTGTTCATCTGACTCCTCATGTTGAGCAGCTCCTGCTCCTTATCACACAGTTTCTGCTGCCAGACCTCCCTCTCTCTGTCCAAAGTCCTCTCCAGCTCCTGAGAGCGAGTCTCCAGCTCCATTTTCTGAACGAGAGGTGGGATGAAGAACATGAAGATCAATGTTAGCCCCAACAAAGAACTGTCACCACATCATTACCTACAATAAACACCATGGAACAACAAAGCCAGATAAAAAAAAAATGCATGCAATACAGAGATTATCAAAACACAAGACGCAGGCGTCTGCGTTGTAAACAAGCAGTTACCCCACTAACACTCAACCACACTCAAAGTAAACGATACAGAAGAGCACAGTATAAACATATGAATGTATAGCACAATAGATCAGCTGGTCAGTTCTGTAAAGGTGAGTCTTGTATTACTGATGAATGACAAAGTACTTCTGTAAAAGCTCTTGTGGATCAGACACACACACACACACACACANCACACACACACACACACACACACACACACACACACACACACACACACACACACACACACACACACACACACACACACACACACACACACTGCTGTCTTGTGTTATAGACTGGACTCACATCTTTCTGGTACTGCTGGAGCTGGACACTGAGGTTTTCTACTCTGAGCTTGGTGCAGACTAGTTCATCATTGGTGGTTGACATAACATTGTTTTTCTCCAGTGCAGCCTGCTGGGCATTCTCCAACTGAAGCACAGGAAGAACTCCATTTAAGCACAATTAACTTTTAATACATTATATTAGAAACTTGTTATAAATTTGGACAAACATCTTGTCGTTCAACTTCTGTGTAAGCACCTTTGAACTGAAGGTCTTGTCAAGCTCTGCTTTATATTGCTGAAGCTGAACCTCATAGTCCTGGCGGAGATGCTGCATTGTCTCAGCCAGTTTACTCTCAAATTCTCTCTGTCTTCCCGTGTCCATCTCCAATAAGCGTTTCTCGTACCGGCTTCGGATCTCCAACGTCTCCTTCAAAAGATAAACCACTGTGAGTTGTATGAAACACTACTTTCAGAGAGAGACAATCATGTTTTAATTTGACATTTTTGGAGGTGCACAAATGAACCGCTTGTGTGTGCGTGCAGGTGGGAGTCTGGGTTACCTGCTCACTGACATTCCTCTGGAGTTCTAGCTGCTCCTTGAGTGTCTGCACCTGGTTTTCCAGCTCCACCCTTCTCAGGATCTCTGAGTTCAGCTGGTTCTTGGTGTCTGACATGTCACCCTCCACCTGGTCACACAGATTCTCTTCATAAGGCAATACCCAACACAATCGGCATCACAGTGAATTTTTTCCATCACTGGGTACGTATGTCTCAGTCATAGATGTGGCCCTTAAATGTGAGTCCCTGATAGCTTTGCTGGAATTTCATCCATTCGACAAATTAACCTTGGAAAGATAAGGTGATATGATTAATCTAATTTTTATTTGTATAGCCCATATTCACAAATAACATTTTTTCTCATTGGGCTTAAAAGCTGTGACATCATCTGCCCTTAACCCTCAACAAGAGTAAGGAAAAACTACCAAAAAACCCTAAGAGGGGAAAAAACCCCAGAAAACTCAGAGAGAACCACGTGTGAGGGATCCTTCTCCCAGGATGGAAAGAAGTACAATAAATGCCACATGTAACTGCTGTTCTCAGTTACAACATCAGCAAAACAACAACATTTACATCACTGATTAGAAGAAACACTTTGTAAGATAATGTAAAATGTTCTTAAAGGTACAGTGTGTAGAATTTAGTGATATCTAGTGTTTAAGTTTCATGTTGCAGCTGAACACACCTCACCTCCCCCTCTCCTTCCAAACATGAAAGAGAAACTGTGGTAGCTTCAGTTCTCATAAAAACTCAAAAGGTGTTTAGTTTGTTCAGTCTGGACTAATGTAAAAAACATGTTGGCCTCCGTAGAGAGGGTCCCCTCCATGTAAATATAAAGTATTTAAATATAAAGGGTCTTTTCTGTGGTAAAGAAAACTACAAATTATACAATTGAGATTAAATGAACTAGTGAAAACATGAGGATTATTCTACATTCAATTTCTGACAATAGTTTCTTTTGACCTAAATCTTACACACTGGACCTTTAAATGTTTTAAGCATTTATTCATAAGAACATGTCTGCTAGAGATGAAGAGAGCAGCAATGACAAAAGATCTGATGAATGTAACCCCCCCTTGCATCCCACCCTACAAGAAAAGATGTAATTTGTAAGGAACCAGTGTTTCACTAGTGTACACTCACCTGAAAAGAGTTTTATTTTTGTTATCCTATACTGAGCCCTTTTTGTCTGCACTGAGAGTGTGTCCTCTGCCAGTGTTTGCCACTTTTCTACCGTAGCCCACAAAAGACAACCCAAACACTGGCTCTACAGAAAACAGATAGATTCTACTACACATTGAAAAGGAAGGTCTATTCAACTGGCTGCAATCTGTGACCATGCCACCCTATCCTTCACACTGGTCCTTTAAGACTGTTAGTACTTTGTTGATGTGGCAGAGAAATAAATACTGCAGTATTTACCACACAGCAGCTCGATGTATATGCAAATATGCATGATTAAAGTAGCACATAATGTTTCATACATAATGGCCTTTGTACTCTGAGTGGCCATTGTACATTGCAACATGCACTGTGTATATAATGTATTATTTGGTTTTTATTGACTTGTCTTGGTTCGTATGTTTTTTTCTGTTCTAATGGGAATCTACAGGATGGCTTCGAACAGGATGTTACTGTGCTGATGCAGTGACATTAAAGTGATCTTATCTTAATTTATGCTAACTGAATTCATAACAATTAACAGGTTTGAACCAACAACCAAGTGGATGGAGTCAATTGTGATTTTGCAAAAAAAATTCCATCATAAACCAGAGTAAAGGCAAAAATAACTCCCTTCATCCCTTGTGGACCATGACTTTCTAACGATTCAGTTGCAATCTCTCCAACAGATAGAAACCAAAGTGGTGGACTGACTGAATGGATTGCGGTGCTTGTGTGGATAAAACAAAAAAACAATCCTCAACAGTTGCAACTTAACATCTCATTTGTTTAAGCCAAAACGAATTGTTCTTTTTCAGCTGTTTAGTAGAATACATAAGTGAGTTATCTGAATTTAGAGTTGCCAGTGATGAAATTAGTTGCCTGGTCGATTTACATTTCTGGCCATAAATTGCACCCAACCATATCCATCTTCTGAGATGGTTAACATGACCCCAAATCGAACACAGCGCTACTGCTCAAACATGACCTGAGCTCAGTCAGAAAGTCAGTTCTAACAAGCAGGTAACACACTTCCCATGCATTTTCTCGCTTTAAAAGCTATATACTCACCTAGGCCAAACATGTCACCATCATCACAATAGTGCTGCCTCTGAGTTAGTGATTGTCCACAACGAATAAATTGACCTACTAACACAATTGGGTAATGTTCCTTTTCCAAATTCTACAAAAACAGGCTTCACGGACCTCAGACATGGTGACCAGACAACATATCAGCACACTCACTCCAGTAATAGGCATGAATATAATTAAATGTAGCTTTGGCTCATACATTTTCCAGCTGGCCCTGCAGGTCAGTAAAGTCATCCTGCAGTCTCCTGTGCTCAGAAAGCAGCTTCGTGCATTCAGCATCCTTGGAGCTCAGCGTCGCTTCCAGTTTCCTCCACTGTGCCAAAGCATTCACCAGATCACCCTCCTTCTTCTCGTTCCTGGAGACGGAGAACATCAGCGGAAGTGTTTGCCGAAAGCAACCTCACTCGTTTTCTCAACAACAACAAAACCCTGTTTAAATATTTGTAAGCATGCCTGCATGTTTTAACTTGAGAATCATCTACTTTTGTTATAAACCCTACCATGTCCAGATATCTTTCAGTAAAGAAATCCAATCTTATATAATAAAATATATTATTCTGTATACTGAAGCCTCCCTTGTCTCCAGTTCATTTATGTGGTTCTAGGTTCTATAGGAATTCATTCTGACCACATTTAACTTGAGGTACCTTAATTTTAAAAGGAGAGTAAAGCCACACACAAAAGAGCACTTTGAAAAATACCAAGTCAACCTCAGTTAAAGGAAACTTAGCTACTGATGCACACCAGGAACTGATTCATTAGTTTATGGGGAATCAATACTTAGATGAGCACATACTTAAAGGTACAGTGTGTGGAATTTTGTGATATCTAATTTTGAAGTTGCAATTGAACACCCCTCACCTCACCCTCTCTTTCCAAACATGAAAAAGAACCTGTGGTAGCTTCAGTTGTCATAAAAACTCAAAAGGTGTTTAGTTTGTCCAGTCTGGACTAATGTAAAAAACATGGCAGCCTCCGTAGAGAGGGTCCCCTCCATGTAAATATAAAGTATTTAAATATAAAGGACATTTTCTGGGGTAAAGAAACTACAATTCATATAATTTAGATGAAACAAACTAGTGAAAACATCATGAGGATTATTCTACATCACATTTCTGCCAATAGATCCCTTTCACCTAAATCTCAAACACTGGACCTTTAATGACATGAACTTTTACGGATTTTTCTCTGTCGTCTCTAATCACACCACTGGTGCAGGGAGTAGTATATCATAAGAAGGGATATTAGTGTGACACCCGGAGATGAGTGTGCTGATGGGGGGAGAGTTATGCACCTGTGCAGGTGCTTCTAACAGCATGGCGGAAGAATGATCTAAAAAGGTGGTTTGACTACAGGCTGGTCGATTTGCAGCATGGTCACATTTGGCTCCTGACGCTAACCTCTCTACCTGGCCTGAAGTTTCCTGTTGTCCTCGCGCAAGTTCCCGTAGTCGATTTGCAGCCGGGCCCTCTCTCCGGCCAGGCCGTCCAGCGAGATTCTGACATCGGCCAACTCCTGCTCGTAAAGCCGCCGCACGTTGCCCATCTCCCGTCTTGTCGAGTCGTCCTTCTCCTCCAGCTGACTCAGCATGGAGGAGCGCTCGCTTTCCAGCTCCTGGACCCGCTGGATGTAGTTGGCGAGGCGGTCGTTGAGTTGTCGTAGCTCGTCTTTCTCCTGGATGCGGGACAGGCGGGACGGGCTGATGCTGGAAGAGGACAGGCCGGCGGCTGCGCTGCGACGGGCTGCGGGTCGGCTGGAGCGGCCGCCGGAGGGGAAGGGGGTGGAGGTGGCAGAGGCCATGGTGACGCTCCCACACAGGTGGTCCACAGGGTTTCTCTGATCAAGTCAGACTGATCTGCTGCCGATCGCTGCATCGGTCCCCGGTGACCGTGAGGAGACGCTGCTTCTGCTCCCGTGGAGCCGCAGCTGGGCCATATCACGTGCTCAGTACGTTCTCAGCTGATAGCAATCGCAGCTGACCAGCTGACGTCACCAGCACCAAGCGAGTCACGCACTACACTTCCGCCTGTCCCTGTCAAAATAAAACGTTTGTGTGTTATGTAAAGTGTTCATGCTATTATTCGGTAATCCCTTGTGTTTTCTGTTTACCTGACTGTAGAAAAACCTTTTCTTTCACTATTCGAGGTTGTTCCAGCATTCGTGCTGACTGCGCAACCCTCTGCAGAGCTTACTATTAAAAAGACAACTCTGAGAAGCTCTTTATTTAACATCACGAGATCAATTTCCAGGACAGTAGGCAAGTAGTTTATAATCATTGTTTAAAAGTGAAATTGCGCAGTACTTGTCTAAGAACTTAAAAAATCAGTTTGCCTTGAATATGTCATCTTAAAATAAAGGAAAGTAAAGTAAATAATAATTTACTAGTGTTATCCACATGTTTTCAATAATTTTTCAATTCGATTTAAAATATCCACTTTCAAGTGTCTAATGGTGAATCTAATAGTAATGCATAACAAATGTAAATCAGAATATATTGAATTACTACATCACTTTAAAACACTCATTTAGCCAGATGGATCTGGTTGTAGCTGAATGAGTAAATGAGTAAATCATTTTTGACAAATAAGATGAGAAAAATGGGAACCGGTGCTGACGAGAGTGAAAGACTCTACAAGGGTTCATAAAAGCAGAGGATGACATAAGAAACAACCAATAAAGGAAAATCTAAAGATCAGACAAAATATGAAAAGTAAATAAACTGAATGTTGTCAAGGAAAATGGGCTCAAGTAAAGCCACAGGCCACATATTCTTGACACATATCCTAAACTGAAGGTAAATGACATGTGAGAAGTTACTGAGAATGAATCACAACTGATCACACCATGATTGGCATTAGTCCTCAGTGAWAACAAATTTCTCCCAAAATGTTGTTGTACATGTCCGGATGAAAGAGGGCGCTAGAACTCCATCACACACATTGTTGGTATTAGAATAATTCAGTTTGTACAGTGTGACACATCCATTACAATCTTACATTGGTTTGCACTATGTAACTTACACTGATTGGAATATTGACTGACTATGTGACTGAATAGATTTGATATACACCCCTCCTGTTTTTCATTCGAATGAATTTTTTTGACCAAGATTGAAACTGAGTTTTCACAACAATATCTGTGATGTCTAGGGAGGGAAGGCTTTGACCTTCACCAAGCTCTTGCACTTCCCAAACACAACAGCCTGTTGCACTATGCCCCAGAGAGGACAAGAGACAGTGTCTATTAAAGTTCACTCAAAACCACACATGTCACCACACCAAAGGATTTTCTCCTTGATACATGACATTTATAAAAGCGGAGGCAGTAATGAATACACACCTCACCTCCTGCGCTCCTGCATCTCTCTATGGCTCATACGGAGATGCAGCCTCTGGGTGCATGACCATTCACTCTCTCTTCCCTCCCTGGGTTGGTTGGTTTGTTTGGATTTTGGTTGTTTAGGCATTTGGTTCAGTTGAACCTTGACATATTCACACATCCATACACTACAAACATTATAGATAAACTGAAGAACATATTTCTGAATGATTTAATTTACTGAAATAAATTAAATTTTTACTTCAAAGTTTCATGTGTGGTCTCCATGTGTGTCCACAAAGAGAGAAAAGAAAGACCTGATTTCTGAAAGTTGTGAAGATGGTGTGGAGGAAAATATTTCATTTAATATCTCTTCTTGTTATTTTCTTAATGCAAAGATCCAGTTACTGTACTCCTCACACGACACTAGTAAAACACCGAACCAACTTCCCCATAGAGCTCAGCCGACCTACGAGAAGACTCTTGCCTACATGTGTATTGAATTTACTAGAACCTCCAGATTTACCAGATTCTTGAGAAACATCCTTCCTCTAAAGGAGGCTAACAAACTAGTCCATGCTTTCTTTACCTAGACTGGATCTCTTTATCACCAGCATGCTCCAGGAAGTCTGTGAAAAGCCTCCAATTGGTCCAAAAGCTGGCACAATCTCTACATTTAAGGTTAGACCTAAACTTTTTGATAAAGCTTATAGTTAGGGCTGGACCAAGTGAGCTCAGAACCATCCCATATATTAACTGGTGCTGCCTAACACTTTTCAATATTTTCATGATAACGACCTGTCTGACAGAACTTAGATATGGTGGTTCCTGCTCTCCTTCCTCGTCCTCCTCCTCTCCCTTCCCCATTTTTCTCCGCTCATGCCAACCAGCTGAGGCAGACGGCTGCCCACATTGAATCTTTTTCTGCCAGAATTTCCCCCAATTAAAGAGTTTCTTCTCTCCACAGTCACCAAAATGCTTAAAGAACTGCTTTATTTCTCTATCATTTTTAAGGTCTCTACACAAATAAAATTGAGTTAAACTGAATATTGATGGGGAGAGAAGAGGAAGCTGAGGCATAGACACTGACTTTGCAGCTCACACAGTTTGATCACCACAGCTCTGCTCCCTGCTCTACCTCTGCCAGAGTTTCCCGCCGCTTCAGCCGCACTCATCATACATGAGTCTGATCTCAGCAGAGAATAAAACAATAAGGACGAGAACAATAAAAGACGTGTGGACACTTTAAAGTCATATCTAATCAATGAAAACACACAGACCCATGTTTGTCCTTCACCCAAATTCCCTTTATTTAAGATTTTTTTTTAATGCTTAACAAACAAAAACACAATAAAAGTGACAAGAGTATGGTAGAGGTAAAGTCACACTCATCATTGTACGGGATAGAACATCATATGAGGCCTGCGACTGAGAACCAATTGATCCTGTCTTTGGTTCCACTTAGTTAAAGTCCAGGATGCTGACAGAACTTCTCACTGCTCAGCACCCAGATGACCCAGTGTTCATTTAACACTGTTAACAGTCCTCTATCCAAATATTGTGATATTAATGGTTGTGTTCTAGGAGTGTACATGTAAGATAGATGAAAATAAATTGGTTATAATACATTTCCCCTCACCGTGTTAAAATATGTTTTAAGTCAGTCTCTCCAGGAGTTCATTCATCATCTGTCAGCACTCAGTTTCTTTGAGAATGTTTTACTGCAGAAAAATTGAGCCTCAATAATGTCAGAAGAGTGTGTGAGATCCTGGAGGGGCTGAATGATGGAGGTGTACTGTGGCTTTTCCCCAGTCTGGGCACTGATGTGTGTTATCAAACATGAGCACTGAGCCTCATTCGCACAAACTCTGTTGTGATGGTGCTGGCCGTCTGCTCCGTGTCAAGTGTAAATGACTGAGGAAGCTACAGCAACGCATGGAGCTGAGAGACGCTCCGTCAAAGATCAGCTCAGCTTATTATGAATGTTCTGATGAAGCTACACGTTCTGACACTTCATGTTACCTGTTGTTTCATCAGGTCGTTTGCTGCTCCTAGCTCGACTCAATCAACCTCACAAACTACAGCGGACTGAATCTGTCCATGCACAACTGTTTGTTAGTATGGATGGTGTCACAGCAAACAAAACTGAGCTGATCTTTTCAGGAGACGTTGAATCTAAAACCGAAGGGATTCAGACATCCAGGCTCTTGATCAGGAGTCTGGAGTCAGTCAGGAGGTCGACAGCCTTTCAGTCAGTCCGAGTCGCCATGGAAACAACCTGAGACGAGAGCCAGAACAAACTAGGATTAGTTTTCAGTCACTGCTGTCTGAAGACCACGTCTTTTCTATCAAGGTGTAGCAATCACAGAAGTGATTTGTCCGACTTGTTCACTCTTCATTCTGTTCTCAGTCGAGCAGTGAAACCCTCCTGTCCTCACTGTCACGTTCCACATCAAAACAAGAGTGACCACACCTCCACCATCACCTGCCAGCAGTACAGCACAGTGTCTTACCTATTTAGTCCAGGCCATGGAGATGAAGGCTGGGTTACCGTCTTCATATCTAGCCCTGGTAGATCTGCGTCTTCTCTTATCTCCGCAGCTCTGACACAAAAACACAGAGATGAAGTTTTAGACTTCAGCTTGTTGTTCAAATCCACTGTCTTTGCCTATTGATCATGTAAGAAAAAGCTCTTGTGTGGGTTGAGCTGCTCTGATCTGTGGGTTGATTTGGAGGGAGAAGCATACCTGGGTGCAGGTGTTGCCCTTCTTCACACACAGCTTCACTTTACAGTGCAGGTAGARGTCACTGCTCTTCCCAGAGAACTCAAACAAGTTGAAGGAAAAGTAGTTGGATGTTCCCAGTCCGTTGTCCATCATCTTCACTGTCTGGTCAGCGGGATTGGAACAGCTGCAGAGAAGCAGGAAGACACAACAGACATCAGCATCTGTGTCAGAGTCACAGGTTTGATCCCCTGAACATCTCTTCTGCTATTTTCTCACAATGGAAACTGATAATGAGAATTACCGCTCTTTGAGGCAGCATGATCTTATGACTATACTATACTATACATATATATACATATATATGCAAACACTACACATGTGCTGAGAGATAACTGACAGAGGAGAAGAAGTGAGGAAGGACCAGACTTTGCCTTCTGATTCAACAAATTGAGTCAAAAGCAGGTTTCTTGATGAAACCTCGCTTCTTATTCATTTACAGAAAGTTCTCACTCAGAAATGTCAGCAATCATGAAACATTCAGACTGGCTTCCACCTCTGTGTCCCTCACCCATTAACAATCAGGTTGTATCTCAGACTGGCATTGGGTGACTTTTCGTTGGTAGCCCAGCAGGAGTCGGTCACGACAGCCATGAGTTTCCCATCCAGCCCGTCCGTCTTCAGCTCTACCCAGACAATCTGCTGCAGCTGGACATAGGTGCTCGGCTCAATGACTTTGGTGCGGCCGGCGTCACTGTAGACCTTCATTGTCAGAGTGTAATTCCAAACTCCAGATATAATCTGCTGGACCACAGAGCTGCAGAGTACACACACACACACACACACACACACACACACACACACACACACACACACACACACAGTGAACCTCGTTCTTCTTTTGTTAAAGGAGAAATATTTTCATGTTTGTTTCCTTTAGTGTATTTTATTATTTTTTTGTGAATATAAACCTTCTGCAAAGTTAAAAAGCCTAAAATCTGTGGTAAAGGGAGCTCCACTTCCAAACAGAAAACACTGAAGCTCCTCCTCCTCCAACCTTCTTCATCATAATGTCAAATCATTTGTTTAATGCACGTCCCCTAATAAAGCCAGGCAAAGCAAGAGTGGAGGACAACATTTCTTCCATGTATTTGAAGTGCTTGAGGCAGAGAAGGCCAGCTACCCTATTGAAGCAGACTGGGCTCTATTGGGAGGGGGGGCCTTAAAGAGACCGGAGCTAAAACCAAATGTTTCAGACAGAGGCTGATAAGAGGAGCAGCAGCAATCAACACTAAAGCGATGTATTTTCTGAACATTAGAGCATGTAAACCTTGTAATTCTCACTTGCCTACCACAAATGTTACAATAATCATATTGTTTGTGTTATTGTTTTTTTGCATTTGAAGAACGTACAAAAAGATATCAGAGAAATAACATCACACGGCCAGAGGTGTAACATGGACTTTGTGTTTTTGTATAGGTATTTATTATCTAACCAAATGTTATAAAAGGGTGAGGGAGGAAGTAACAGGAAGTGCGGCGAGCGAGGAGCGAGGCGCAACGAGACGGGGAAGAGGCAGTCTTTTGTTTGGGGGTCGCCACGGGTTTCAAAGAGAGCCTCTGTCGAAGGAATCCTGCATTCGACAGTGGATTATAAATGTTTTGGAATAAACTCTCATCCGATAACCAGATCGCGGAGCCCGGATGCCGAACGGACTGGGGTGAGATCGTGCAGTTTTCCAACAGCGGGTGGACCGTCACGTTTCGCCATTGTTTTCCCCTATTAATATTATTTATCCTTAATTTAGACAAACCTTCAGTGGACTTTTCACTTTGTAGATGTTGTTTTGTGCACTCTGTCATCCCAGGAGAACTATTGTTTATTTGCTGTTGTGACCATGTTTGTATATTGCCGCCGCGGTTTGATATTTAATTTGTTTGGGCTTTAAATACACTTTGTTTTCCCCTCAAACTGTGTTTTTTCGTTGATGATAATTTGCTTTTTAGTTAATGCGTGTTTATCGTGGATGTTTTCAGCATTCTTCGGGCGTTATTGATCATTTCGTGTAGCCGACTAGTCATTTGGAAGCAACTGGAGTCTGGTCCGCCGCTCCTTGAAATTAGCGTATTGTACTTTCCCTTAGAGCTGTCTAAAGTAAGGTGAATTGTTACAACCTTTCTAATAACACAAATTAAATGATCAACAAGTCCATTAGAGGAGTATGTCTCTTCTTTAGGGCTGTATTTATTAAACTGCTAAAGTAAAATTTCAGACAAGGGGGATAGATTACTGGGATATTCCAGGGAAAGAGCACATACGTGAGTTTATAC